ATGTATATTAAATTATTGATCTTGATGGAATCTGACAGGGTATCATTAAGAATTGTTTTTTTTTTAATTATGTACGACCAGGTCATGAAATTATGGCTGATAGAGGATTTAAGATTAGAGATTTGTTGTTAGAAAAGCATTCAAAGCTTGTAATTCTACCATTTACCAAGAAATTTTGTGTCTTTGAATAAAAATAATTTCAAACAAACAAAAACATTTCTACTTACAATGTTGACATTTGGGATACTTTTGCACATTATTAACGATGTCACTTTTAATTATTTGAATGCAGGAGCTTTTTCTCAGATTATCATGTAATATTAATTCATCTAGAAATAATATAATGAGATTTACCGATAAAGAATAGCAGACTGAAACTCATAAACTACTCGTACATTTATATGATTCATGGGTAACTTGGTTCCGTTCCGTTTCGCTAAATACTAATATCCACATGGATATTGGTATTTAGCGGAACGGAACAGAACCAAAGAATGGCCAATGTTGGCAAAGCGAGATAACTCTCTTTACTTGGACTTGTTTATAAACAAAACGATATTTCTTTAGCACTGTACCCAAGCATTTGGATAAAGTCATTTTACATCAATAATTAATACATATCAATCACTCAATACAGTTTACATAGCAACAACAGATGTCACACCAGATGAAAAACCCACAGGACAAAATAATGTATAAGCTAGAACTTTTTACTGTCCTAAAGGTTGTTGTAACGCTACTTCATTCATCCAATATATTATGCATGTAATAACATTTACATAATACCAAAATATGGTAGATAAAAATGTTGAGCAACTGAGGAAAAGATATTTGCTTATTTAATTTTAACATCATCTAAATCCATATTTATCACACTTTTTTCACAATCAAATAATATCAAACCACACATTGAAAAAATTGTGTCTGCTGTCGTACTTTTTTTGGATTTAATCTTTCTCTTCAATAGGAAACCTATGGTTTCGTTTCGTTCCACAAAATACCAAAACCTGTGTGGGTATTGTTAATTTGCGGAACGGAACGGAACAATATATGACTATCGTGTATTTTCTTTTCTTTCTTTTTTACATAAATAACATTACTTTAAAACGGAATGTTTAAGTAATATTAATTAACATTTATTAGTTATTACAAAATATACTCTCTTTATATATGCATGTTACTGAAGAAATTCATCATAGTTTTCCTGCAGAGTATGATTTCAAAATAAAATCCTTATGTGGGGGAATTTCAAACCAACAAACTCGACTCAGTTATTTTCTTGGCTCATTATTCGACGTTGTAACATCCTACAAATATAACAAAAGTGTACTAAAATAATTGTATGCAAAATTATTGCTATCACAAACATTATATAACACAACAATCCTGGTTAATTCGGAATATTCCAAATGACTGTATTATGCAAATTAGTTTATCTCATGGAATATCTCATTTTTTAATGAAAAAAATATGACATTCACGTAACAACTTATTTATTCATATATTTTATTTCATTGTGTTTCGTTTCGTTCCGCTAAATACTAATATCTATATACCCAAACATTAATATATCTTGTCAAAAAAGTAATTTTACTTAAAATTCTATGGTTTATTCTGTCTATGTTAAGTATCCTTCATCATATAAATATAAGCTTATTATGAAGTACCTGCCATTTATGATCTACATTCAGATGTATTGTTGTTTCCCATTTGATAATTTCACTTATAGCTTTTTTCCAAATATTGTATATGAAAGTGTTATACATGTATATACAAGTGTATCACCTGAACCCTCAAGAAAACCCTAAAAAAAGGGTAAGTTAAACTTGTGTTATTTTCTTCATTATACAAGATGTACTGTTTGATAAAACAGAAAAGGTTTCAACAACAACAAAATTCTTCAAAAATTATAATTTGATCACCAGATGAAAAAAAATCACCAATATATCTTATACCCTATCAAACTAGCTTCTGTAGTATGAGAAGTCAAAATAACAGTGATCATGCTCAAAAGCCCATTTAAGAAATACAAACTGTGAGCAGAGCCAACACAGACCTCTGAAACCAGAGGTGGGATCAGGTGCCATGGAGGAGTAATCATTCCCTGTCAATCGGTCCTTATGATCGAGTAAACGGAAAAATCAATGTGAATGTAATGGCCTCATTTATCCAAATTTAGTCCGACGTCGGAAAATATAGTTTCCTCGACCTGTTCAAACTATACGCGTTCTAGCCGCAGAACTGACGCTTTTTTGTCGCTCATTTCGGGTATTATTTCTTGTATTATGTATGTTCCCCCGCTTAAATCATGGTAACTGTTAATTAACCATTTATTTTACTCCTATTCCTGATACTTTTTTTTACCATATAGGGCTATATTTGGAACTATTTAAAAGTAAAGAGAGTATCAGGAATAGAAATAAAGTATATAGGTAATTAAAGTAAATCATGCTTTATGCGAGGAAATGCATAAATACAAAAAATAATACCTGAGGAGAGCAACAAAAAAGCGTCGTCGTAAATCGAAGGATTTTACAATGCTTGGATCTGTAGCTCTCTGGTTTGAATTTCTCAACCAGAGAGCTACAGTTCTGCAGCTACACGCGTGTATGTTTCGGTAAACAAGAGGCCTATGGGCCAAGTTGCTCACCTGACTCACTATGGCCCTACTTTTCTGCAGCAATTTTCCCCCGATATATTATTATGTAAAACTTTGATCACCTATTGTGGCCCCACTCTACCACCAGAGGTTATGATTTGAACAAACCTGAATTTTTAAAACTACCTTAGGATGCTTCCACATAAAGTTTCATATTTTCTCGCCTGGTGGTTCTTAAGATTTTTGAATGATGCCATTAAATTTTCACTACCCGGTAATTCTCCATTATCTTTCCTTGGGAGAGGGTGTGACCCTTCATTTGAACAAAATTGGATCCACTTCACCCAAGGATACTTTGCGACCAGTTTGGTAGAAATTGGCCCAATGGTGCCTGAAGATAAGTTGAAAATGCGAAAAGTTTACAAAGATGAAAACTGGACAAAATGTGATCAGAGAAGGTTACGTTTCAGTTTAATTCAGTAATTCTTTATTACATTTTTTTTGGCTCATCTGAGCTAAAGCTCAAGTGAGCCTTTTCATAACTTCTGTGTTAATTACTTCCTCATTCAATAGTCGCTTCGTAGCTATACTTCCATGAATGATTTTAAATTACCAGTCTCGTTGTAGCTTCACTGATGTCTCACCAGAGTTACAAGGAATCCTCAGGTATAAGTCTGAACATCAAAAAATAAAAGTTTCTGCGCACATTCGTAGGGGGTGTTATATTTAAATTTCTGACCTTAACCTTTCATTTTATGGCTTCAAAATCGCTAGGGTCTTTAAAATAGATTCATCACCCCAAGTTTCATTGTAAAAGCTCAAAGAGACTGATAAGTTACACTGCATCATCTGGAGACCATTTAAGTTGGAGCAATACTGTAGATCACTAAATTTTCGTAAGGTCTTGTATTCGTGAGATACGTACTTGGTACTTATAAGCGGGACAAAATATTCATGAATTCTTGATATTGCTGTATATAAGCTATTCTAATAAAATTATACACAAGAACGAAATTTTTACGAGCAGATGGTCACAGGTGAATACACGAAAATAAAGTTCTCGCGAATAAAAAATAATTTACTGTATATGAATTTCTGACCTTGGCCTTTGACCTTAAAATCAACACGGGTTTTCTTTAAGATGTAGGTAATTAAGGGCTTTCAGAGATATCAGCAAGAAACTAGTGTTACACATAGAATGACAGACGTGGCATGTAAGCTTACTGAATACTCTAGAAAGGATTGTGTTTATAAGGAATGTGTTAATGTTTCTCTTAAAAAAGCATTCCAAGGAGTGCATTTACTTAATGAAATGGCATTTATGGTAATAATGTTAAGAGAAATACCTATTTTGTTACTATTACTAAAGACTGTTTCGCTACATACATGTACCTTTACAAAGTACTTTTTCGAACAAAGACTGGATGTGATAAAAGAATAAAAAACATAACAAGGTTTTACATTTTATTTTGAGTTAAATTCATTCCAGTATAATAAATCTTTATTTTAGGATTAATTATTATGGTAAATAAATACACTGAACGATATATTTTTTTGACTGATTTTGAATATTAATGACATAAATAATAAATCCTTAAGATATAGAGAAATCGTAAGTTTTCTTTGGTGCTTAAATATATGACTTAATTGTGCCATTCTCTACATTAATCTATACAAACTTTTGCTCATATTTTATAATATTATTACAAAATCCTACAAAATTTTCAAACTTACCCTGGCAAACATTAGTCATGTAACCTATACGAATATAAATCTACGAAATAAATTGCCGATTTCTAAAAAAAAAAAGTTTGTTTTATGTATTTATCCTTAAGGTCAGACGACACATTCCTCAAATATATGTTTTGTATACCTTGTTATTATATCAATAATTATACATAATTGTCATTCTCTTGTGATTTCTAAATTGTTTTCAATTATGTTTTTAGAAAATTAGTACACCAAAAATTGTTACATAGCCAATTCAAAGGGTTACCTATAAGGATTCTATAAGAAATATTACCTTCTGGTATCCTGCCCAAATGCCTGGTAAGGTGCATCAATTTTTTGTGAGAAAACTTGTTCAAGTAGCTATAGTTCAATGACAAATTCTTGAGAAAAATTATATATTTTCGAGGAACGTGTCGTCTGACCTTAAAATAAAATATTGAGCATGATGCTAAATATCAACAAGAAAATATTTTTAAAGATACTTGGAGACATAATTACAATAAATCAAAAAGTTTGAATATGCAGTTGTATGTCAGAAAAACATGATTTTCTTCAGCAAACCTCCATTTTTTTAAATTTCAGTTTAATATTTCAATAGATATGCTATATAAATTTAACATATTAATATTGCTAAAAATATGAAACAAAAATCATATAGAATATGTGCAGAAACAAAAAGTTATAAAAAGAACTTAACAAAGATACACATACATTTATGAAAAAAGGCAAAATTTCATTGATGAACACATACATTTATGAAAAAAGGCAAGTATTAACCAGCTTTAGTAATTGCAATTGATAGCATGAATGACATTTTGTACAGAAAGTTTGAAGTTCAACAAACTAAGCAGATGTCTCTGCTGAGAATGTAGCTCTACTGATTTGTACTTACATGTATCATCAGAGGCACAATGCTCACATGCATCACCCTGCCCCAGTAGAAGATAATTAAAGAAGATGCATGTGTATTTAAAAGATTATATCACTCTTTAATCCCTTGAACAATATTCAGCCCTTACTGTGGCCCCATCTAGCACCTAGGGGATATATATCTAAGCCTGAATCCATTCATCATGGGGATAATTCAATATCATTATAACTAACATGGTCTTGTACATAAGATTTTTTTTGAAGATTTTTTTCCTGTATAGGCATACATTTGGTAATATTTGGTCCACGATTTAAGGCTTACCCTAACCCTAGGGTCCTTAACTTGAACAAACTTTAATCCACAAAACTTGGGAATGTATGCACATCAATATGATTTAAAGTGTCACTAAAAATTCAGGCTATGTGAATAAATTTCTATAGCTCAGCATGTATCTTTTGATATATTGGCTAAATGCCTGCCAAATATCTAATTGATATCTTAAAAAACAAAAAAGTTATGCCCAAAAATGATGCTAAAAATGTCAGGAGTGCAACACCTTTTTTGTGACATTTTGAAAATTCCATATTATTTTTGCATCTCTCTCACTAGAATACGATTCTTTTAAGGTTGATGATGCTAAATTTCTTACTTTGTTCCAACATTTATATATACACTTACACTATCTATGCAGAGCTACATTGTGGCAATTCATGCTGCATTGCATTGCATGTATTCCTTCCAAAACATTTTACATGTATTTTGCTTAAAAAAAAATTCTTTTCTTACAAACGTGGAAAAGATATCAACCTTGAATTTAAATAGCTGTTCTAGCATTTCTTTATTACTGTAACAGTATACTCTAACTCACAAAATAGAAATAACTGTTCTAGCATCTCCTTAATACTGTGACAGCTCACAAAGTAGAAATAACTGTTGTAGCATTTCTTTATAACTGTGACAGCTCACAAAGTAGAAATAACTGTTGTAGCATTTCATCATTATTGTGACAGCTCACAAAGTAGAAATAACTGTTCTAGCATTTCATCATTACTGTTACAGCTCACAAAGTAGAAATAACTGTTCTAGCATTTCTTTATTACTGTAACAGCTATTCTCTAACTCACAAAGTAGATTGAAAAAACCCTAATTTTAGAAATGGTTCAATTATATGCATCCTATCTTCAGCTTTCAGGATGTTGTAGGGCTTACTAAATTTTATCATGGGTCCTGCACCCTTTGGAAATGATGAGTCCCCTCCTCTTTTGATGACCTCATAATCCACTTCACTACATGAAAACTGTGTGAATGTTACCTAAATACAAAGTTGCATTTGCTAAAACACATTTTCTTTGACCATTGCATTCCCTTTATGGCAAATTATGATCTCAATGGACCAACACAAAGAGCTAAAACCTGCATGGATGTCATCTTTTTTTGTTTATCAACTATTTGACTCTCTATACAAATTGTGAACAACATTATATCTCATGCATGCAAATCAATTGGATAGATATAACGAGCAGAAGTGCTGCTTCCAATTTTGTGAAAATCATGGCCCTAGTTTCAAGGGTTCTGGAGTTAGGGCTGGGCTTTATTGATCATATGGTGAAAATGCATTAATGCTTTGAAAACCTTCTCTGCTCCTCGGTTATAGCAGCCAAACTAATAGCATGGTTATAATTAGGGATGTCAACGAATAGTCGAATATACAACTATCAGTCGAATGGACCGACGATCGAATAACGAAACAACATTCAAATAAATAAATTCAATAAAAGAGTGATAAAGAGATGGAATTCTCATTCTAAAATTGAGAAACAGTCTTTCCTCAGACACAGTCGATAAGATAATTTTCCTCATTAAAAACTGCCTTTACATGTAGAAAGTACAGTAATTAGAAATGCTTCACTTCCGCGAGAATTATTTGTCAATTAATATGTTGTTTTTGTAATAAAATTATCTCGCTTTACTGCGCTTTCTTTGTAAAATTATTAATTGTATTTGATCTCATACCATGTACCCATTATAGTGGTGAAATGTTTGGACACTACGGTAATTATTATAAAATTAATATTCTTTTACATATTTTAAAGGCATTTTGATAGTTGGTACAAAAAGTATATCCAAATGTTTAACATTATCAGACACCGTGTGTGCCCCCCCCCCCTCCCCCCTCTCACTTTAATAAGCTTTAAAAAAATATATCGTACTGTCATTTTTTATGCTTCCTAAAAAAAAACGACTTTACAGACCGATTTATGAACGTGATTGACGGGGAAATCATACATTTTGGTGAATTAGCGGTCTATATTTAGTAAATATAAACACGCTATCCACATTTTAGGTCCATGTGAAAATCTGTGTGTAACATTTGATGTTACTTTTTACTAAATTTAAGAAAAGGGGATTTGGGGTTAAATATGTCATGTACCAGTGAAGTTTGAAATAAAATTTTAGTTTCCGAAAAAGTTTCGAATATATTTGATTATCGTTCGAATAATGCAATCGAATATTCGACTAAAGAAAATAAATATTTTGACATCCCTAGTTATAATCTTCCAAAATTGTGAAATGCTGGCTCCTGAGTTGGGCATTCTGCCACAAAATGCCCTTTGCCACTAATATGGGGGGGGGGATCATTTTGTGAGCTCAGTGCTTGCAGTACTTGTTTACATCCAAATAGTCATCTGTATACGTATGTAAGTCAGTCCAATCAATAGTGCCTACCGTATTTGTGAAATTTTACTAAAATCAAACAAAATCTTGGGTAAGAACTTTGGTGGATAACTGGAATAATAATGTTCTCTTAAGATACCTGCAATAAATGGCGATTCATATCACTTATGATATGGCTTACACTAGAGCTACATAGATTTGAACATCCCTTTTCACTGCCTGGTAGCTGCCTGTTGCATAAAACCTTTAATGCAAACAATATTTGCAAATTAAGATACTGGCAATGCACATGATCTTGCTGTGGGTCTTTGCAGTCTTTCTCGAAAAACTGCTTGGTACTAACAAACAAGTTTAAATTTCGATGTGGCAAAAAGCTTTGTGCAAAATGTTCATAAGATTATTTTGTTATTTTTAATGCTTCATTGAAAAATATATTAAACTGTTTTTGTTCAAAGCTTGTGGCCACACTAAGATATTAAAAAAAAAGTACAAATGTGGTAAATTTTCATGCAGTATCATAGAATGGCACATTGACCTGTAGGTCAGACATCACTATATCATCAAAATATCCCTCACATATATACAATTAAAGTTATGCTTTTATTTCAGTAAGATCATTACTCGTTTAATTATTCTGCTGTAATAACTCCTTGGTTTAAACTCTTTCTACATTCTGACTTGAATTCCCTTGACCCCTTGAAGACCAATGACATCCATTTAACCGACTGTAAACATATCACACCCTAATTTCCAGACAAAAAACTTGTATGACCAAATGTGACTTCATCCTAATGGGTGTCACACTTGAACAGTCTAGGGAAATTCATGAAATGCATGCATGTATCTGGTATATTTTTTCATAATTTAGTGTCACCATTTGAAAGTAATATGATTTTTAAATTTTCAAATATACCAAAGTTTCTGTTCAATTTTATTTGTGTTGCGTTTTATACTTACATTTGTATCTTGCACAATAAAACCAAAGAGTACAGGCTGTTTGGAAGATGTTGATGCATAGTGAACTAGAAGTTCTCCTCCATGCTGGCCTATTGTGTCTGCATCTAAATGAGTAATCTCCTTCCTCTCTTTTTCACTGAGCTTTCTGGTCTTTGGTGGAGAAGGTTCAAGAGTATCAGATTCCATCTTTCTTTTAACCTGTAATTACATTACTGATTTATACAAAATATACAATATATTTATTACCATATATATGTGTACATGCATATATCTTAATTATCTTTATATATTAGAGATGTCAATATCACTCAGATGGCCAAGTCAAATAATCACAAGCTTAATTTATGCCATAGTCATTTAATCGTTAAAAGAATTTTCACGTCAGTTTCATGTGAATCCTTTCAGACTGCTTGTACAATATATAAATCATACTGCTGTCACATACAACATTTCTAAATCAGAAATATTTATTAATAAATATCTGTATAAAATATTTAATGTGTACTTGATTTGCAGCACATAGAAGAAGACAATCCTTTATCATGCTTATAATCATGTTTGTGATAGTAGCTGTTATTTTTTCAAGCTATGCACTTAGATGTTTTTGTCAAGACTTAGAAGATTTTGATGAGTTTGCTGTATGCTCTTTTAGATATAACATATTTGTCATTTCACCACAGAATGTCAGATAATCTTCATATATTTTACAGTTAACAGTCTTTCCATCATGAGATCTGTTAAAGCGGGTCTAAACTGCAGATTTCTGAGGCATGTTTGCTAACCAAAATTTGACAAGCAAATGATTTCCTGTGAACAGTGAACTAGGATTTTTCCTCATAAAAACACTGATACATTTAGATATGAATCAGGTGGATCCAATATTATGATTACTGTGTAGGCCTTTATATTTATTGCAATGAACACCTAGTGAAAAGTCAAAGGGCCCAGTTCAAATTGAAAATTCACTCTTTTCCCCAAAATTAAGGGAAAAATTCCCAAAATAAATGCAGACTGAAGTTTATTATTTTTGTTGAGGGCTAATTTCATATCATAATCATGAAAACAGTTTTTCTGTTAGATGAAGTTAATTTTTGAAGATTGCATAAACTGTAGTTGTTTTGGCCCAACCACTCAAGTCCCCAGGAAACTAGGATAATTAGGATAAAGGAATTCCCTTTGTCCATAAATGCTAAATATCAATATTGGTAGAAACTAGTCTCACCATTTCAGAAAAGAAGCTAAAAATGTTCAACGGCTTATTATCAATGTACAAAGATTGATGAGACCAGACAGCATTACTGGTACATCACCTGACTCAGACTAACCTCTAATTGTTTCATAAACAATGTTTATTTTTTCATTTCAATCTTTAATTTTGGATAATTGTCTTGACAATATGCTCACTCCAAATGCTTACCTGAGTCACTAAGGCCATGCTGTCCTTCTGAAGATTGATTTTAAAATGTTTTCCCCCTCTATTGTCATGAAAAATTTTGACCCAATTTTGTAGCGCCACTTCAGCCCCAATGGGTTATGATTTTTAACAGAACTTGAATCCACACTACATGGGGATTCTGAATATCAATATGACTACATGGGCGTAGCTTCCATTGTGGCAATGAGGCAACTGCCTCACTAGAATTTTCAGCACCACCTCTCAGCACTTACTTTTGAAATATGTAGTATCATATACCTGCTGAAGTCTTCAATAATGAAACCGGTAAAATTATGAAATTTCTGTTCAGGACAAGTATGATTTTTACATTCTAAAACCCCAAATTCGTTTTCCATGTGTGTAGGTGGGGGGGGGGGGGGGGTCTGCCCCCTCAACCCCCCACCAGGGCTCTTTCCTGGAGCTGCTTAGGGCATAAGGCAGCCCCCAGACCCCCAGCTGCAATCGTTTTGCCTCACTAGAATTTTAAGTCAAGCTATGCCCCTGGACTAACTTGGACTTAAGTTCTATAAACATGATAAAAGAAGCTTTTTAAATGCTTGTTTCTTATGTACATGTATTTTGTAGATTTTGATTCCTGATTTTGGACCTTAACCTGCAGTGTCCATTACATCCTACTGGAATGGAAAATTGGTCTTGAGGTTTTGAAGAAGTAGTTATCTGTACTATTTCATGCCCCCAAAATATCTCTAAAATGTCTCTTGTAACAAACATGAACTTAATATCCCCAGTATATTTCAAAGGAGTTCAAATTTTAACTTACCTTACATATGGCAAAAATTTTAGAAGTTTCTTGGTCACAGTTTGGAAGGTCATAAAATATGAGATCAGGTGTTGAGTTGACATGTATACTCCCAACTGTCATAGACTGAGGTAGTAAACAAGGCACGGCACTAAATCAAATAACGGAAAGTTAGAAGGATTTGTATTTGTCTGTGTTCTATATATTTTTTGAACATGAATACATGTAGGGGTGTTAACTCTCCCAGTTTCATTGGTAGGATTTCACACTCCTGACTTTTATATATATATATACAGTGATTCATTTTGAAAATGGTTATCATGGGTCCAAAGGACCTCTCTGAATGAAAATAATGAGTCCCATGCCAAAATCAATGCGTCCAAAACCAAGGCCCTAGGGTACTGCATATTAAATACTACAGAGGAAATTCTGGTGAAATATAAATGGATATTGCACGAAAGTGCTAATGTTTTATTGTAACTGTGAATGGTCTATACTTTGACTATTGAATTGGAAGTAAGAATAAATGATTTTGTGGCATAAAAATAATATATTGTCAACTGTGGACCTTGTTTCTATGTTTAGATCATAACTACGATCTTTGTCATAAAAAGCACAGAAGCAGATCATTTGTTCTATTGAAAAAAGTAAAGAAAGTTTTTAAAAAAATGAAAAATAGTTAGAAAGAAAAATGATCATATTTTATACATGTACGTCTTGGCTTCTAAGGAAAAAATTAAAATATATAGGTTAAATTATATCTTAATTACAAAGGTATAGCCTAGTACACACAGGGACCTATATAGTCAGTATATAGGTCCCTGGTACACGTATACGCTTCAAAAATGTTCCACAGTAGACATAATCTAACTATGCTATCTTACTTCTAAATATTTTCTGATAATTGCTTGTATATGCAATTTAAGAGTGAATTGTCAAATCTGACCTGTTGTTGGCAAACTTATACCTGTTCACTCATGCATATCGCTTAGCACGTGGAAATGATGCAATCGGTCAAGCTTTGAATCAGATTATATGGAAACAATTTAAAATAATAAATGTCCTTCTATAAATTCATTGCGTCCATTGGGATGCACATTTATTGAAATAATGCGTCCTGGGCAAAATCTGTGCGTAATTTATGCAGGACGCACACCAAAATGAAACACTGATATATATATATATATATATATATATATATATATATATATATATATATATATATATATATATATATATATATAGCCTTAAACTTAAAACATATAGAATAAATTAAATAATTACTAAAGACAGTTTTATTCCACCTAGTACATATAATTACCACACAGTCCCTGGTCACAAAGAATCTGCAAAATTTGGTGCCAGTGTTATAATTTTTTTTTTCTCAAAACTTTTAATTTAATATTTAGCTTACTATGGAGCAATCAAAGATATTGAAATATTTCCTCAACAAATTTTGATTCATTTATGCTAAAGCTTATTAATCTTTTTTAAAATCTAATTGCTTCTATAACCTATACACCACATCATTTGAAGGAAAATGTACAGACAAGCAATTTCTGGATTTTACAATGAAAAAATATTTGGGTCAGTGCATAAAATTAGGTTCAGTAAGGTAACCGTAAACAATTTTTTCCTTAGGCCTTTCTTAATAAGCAAACTGTATATGGTAATTCATAAGTTTAAAATGACACTTACATAGCATGGAGCCCAAACATTGCTGTGAAGTGTTGGAAAAGTTGTTGAAACATATATTCTGTGATTCTTACACCCCTTTCTTTCTGCCATGTCATAAAAATAAGTTGTTTGCAAAACAGCTCACCATGAACTCTAAAACTGCAATATAAAAATATGAACTTTTGAGCTATACTCTCAATACTAGTAATCAATATATCAATCACAACACAGATACATGTACAATGCTCTCTAGAGTCACATTTATATTCCTAGAAACTAAACTTAACATAAAAAAAATTAATATTTTCTACCAAGACTAGAACTGTCCTATTAGGACTAATAACCCTATGGGATAACTAAAACAAGAGACCCATGGACCAACAACACTCATGACATCCGTCACCTTTGCCCTGTTATTTATCAAGAGATTCTTTCCCTCTATATTCCTAGGAAAAATCGTAACCCAACCCTAGCCCAACTCGGTTATGACTTGACTCAATTAAGCATATAGGAGCAAAGAAGAAGATTTTGAAAGCAATTTCACTTTCACTATCTGGTCTATAGAGCTCAACCCTAATTGCAGAACCCGACCCTGGGGCCATGAATTTCATAATTTTGGGAAGGCTCAGTCAGCACTTAATTCGATGGTTTTAGCCCCACCCCTCAAGCCCCAGGAGGGTTGGGGACCATGAAATTCATAATTTTTATTCCCCTTCACCCCCAAATTTGGTTGAAATTGGTTTTGTGGTTCCAGAGAAGAAGCTGAAAATGTTCATATGTTAACGCACAACAACGGACAAAAACAGATAGCAATAGGTCATCTGAGTGACTCAGGTGACCTTAAAAAACCCAAATCTACAGTACTGAGGGTGCTTCCACATTAATATGACTACCTGTAATCATGTGTTTGCCGTTGTTGTTAAGAAGATTTTTCCCTATATATTCCTACTACATGAGAATTCTTATCACCTATTATGGCCCCACCCTATTCCAGGGGTCATGATTTGAACTAATTTAATCTGCACAACCTGAGGATGCTTGCAAATGAATATATAGTAATGACTAATTATGCCTATGCTGTACCTGAGCAGAAGATTTTTAAACATTTTTCCTATATTTTCCCATTCTAAAAACTTGATCACCTACTGTGGCCCCACCCTACCACAGGGAGTTGAATTAGAAGTTAATTACAAAATTTAAATTCATCTCATATAAAACCTTGGGTATTAAAATATTAAAGAAATTAGAGTGTGTGTTGGGGATTTTAGTTGTTAATCGTAGGAGTATCAAGTCTCCCTGACTTTCAAAACTTCTCCCTAAATTTGCTGTGAGGGAGAAGTGAAGTCTCCCTATATTTTGGGTATACGTTAGTCCCTGTAATTTTCACTGAATAAGAATTCTTATAAATTCAATGAATAACAGATAGTTCGAGGTAACCTGCTGAATTGATAAATATCTATAAGTTCCATTTAACTCTCTCATCTTAAACAATGATTATTTTGGTGTGCGTCCTGCGTAAATTACGCATGAATTTTGCTCAGGACGCATTATTTCAATAAATGTGCATCCCAATGGACGCATTAAATTTATAAAATAAAAGGTATTTTAAAGAAATTATTTCGGTATAATCTGCTTCAAAACTTGGCCGATTGCATCATATCCACGTGCTAAGCGATGTGCATGAGCGATTTTAACAAGTATAAGGTTGTCAACAAAAGGTCAGATTTCACAAGTTTCATGGTTAAATTGCAGTTAACAATGAAACAATCACCAGAAAAAGAAAGTTCAATTTTGTCTGCTGTGGAATATTTCTGAAGCGTATACTATATACAATACATTTGTATTTTAGCCATAACCTGAATCATTTTAATTTTTTTCTTAGAAGCTAATAAGTATTTGATCATTCTTCTTTCAGGCTATTTTTCTTTTTTTCAAAGAAAACTTTCTTTACTTCATTCAACAGAACAACTGGTCAGCTTCTGTGCAGAAATCGTATGTACGATCTAAAAATAGAACCAAGGTGCACAGTTGACAATATATTATTTACATGTCACAAAATCATTTATTCTTACTTCCAGTTGATAGTAATTATAGTATAAACCACTCACAGCTTCAATAAAACAACTGCACTATCGGATAAAACCCTTTTCTATTTCACCAGAATTTCCTCTGTAATATCTAACATACGGTACCATTGAGTACCCTTGGAAGCTTTTGTGATTTTGGCACGGGACTCATTGTTGTCATTAAGAGGGGTCCTTTGGACCCATGATAACCATTTTCAAAATGAATCACTGCATCTTGACACTATGGCAGACGTATGCCTCAAAGCAGTTCAATCAGTAGCTCTAGTATAAATTGATAAATTTTAATTTTTAAAATTTAAATAAAGTCAAATCTCATTACTAGTATCTCGAACTCGATGGGACCGAGGAAAAACTTCAAGATATTCGATGATTCAAGATATTGAGGGTAAAATACTTAAAGAATAAGTGGTTGGGACTTCCAAATCACTTCAACATATCCATGGTATTCAAGATATCAGTGTTTGAGATACCAAAGTTCAACTGTATATTTGAAAAGTTAAACTCCCAGGATACATTTTGTACTTTGATTTTATAATAATGTAAGCTAAAGGAAACCCCCCCCCCCCAAAAAAAAATATATTTTTGCCTCATAAAGTACCCGGTATAATTATTCTCCACACTATAGACTAGGAGTTAGAAAAAAAAAAATGACTGTCACTCAACTTACGATTCACGCCAAGCTTCTTCAGCAAAATCTGGCAGAGGTTCCAATCTAAAACTAAGCATCTGTCGCTTTTGTGCATTGTACAGGATTGACTTACAATTACCATGATTTATAGAGTAAAAGTCATCAAAGTCAACAGCCTTCAATCCAGCTGGCATAAAATGCATCAAATGTTCCTTCACTCTTCGTACTCTCCTCTCAATTCCTTCATCAACTAGATAAGACAATATTTCTGCTGGTGGATAAGCCCTCGATTGCACAGCAAAGACTTGCAGAATATTAAGGTGATTTTCACTCCACTTGGATGTACAACAAGGGATTTCTGTCTGGCTTCCTACAAAACAGAATTAGATAATTTTGATGGACTACAATCAAAACTATTTTAACTCCATGATGCTTTCTCCACAGTTGAAGAGGACAATGTCATTTTCACTTTCATAACAATTCCTGCACATGCATATAACCCTACGTTTATATAAAGAACCAAACTATAAATATTGAACATAAGTGCTGCTTTTTTTTACTTTGAAATTTTAGTGTACTGCTATACATAGCACAATAACTCATTGATTTAAAATAGTGAAGGCTTACACTGTATACACAATTAACTTGTGTTGACTCTAATAAGCAATAAATAACAAAAATTTAATTATAACTTGAGCCTCGATTGGAAGGCACACGTGTCAACTTAAATTTGGGAGATTGGAGTATATTCACTCATCTGGAAAATATTAGGTCAGACCCAGCATCAGAAGCAGATTAGATAGAGTGCAATCGGCTCAACTCCAATATATATGGATAAAGTAGTATCTGTAAAATTACTATTTGCACATATTCCTTCATTTCAAGGATTTCTACAGACTGATATTTAACATCAATATCCCGTGGACGTTCTAATGTCGATTGGAGTTGACCTATGTCATGTATGGAGTTGGCTATGCATCATCAATACAAGTTTACTTTAGCAGGTCCAGTACAATCAGTACATTTAGCTACGTAGCTAAAATTACCTACCATAGCTTTATTTACCTACCTCAGGTAGCTTTATTTAGCTATTTCAAGGCAACTTTTCACAATTTTTCCTTTTATTTTAAAAAGACAAAAAAAAAATCGCAAATAAATGACTCCTAATATTTATACTAGGGATTATTTAAAAAGCAATCCAATGCAGAGATAGTTTTAACATTGCTGCGTTTGAACACTTTTAAGGAAAAGATGTATTTCCATTGTTTAATTGTACACCACCTAGTGTGCAATGAGGCATGGATAAGTATGATTGCTTCTCATTGTGCTCATGTTAACCAGAACTGGTTTTCTTTGTTATTTCATTCAACAAGTAATTGTTTGGTCACAAATTAACTGTTGTTTATAGCCCCAAAACTTGTAGAACTTTGACTGAAATTGCGCAGAAAAAGACACATCTCCAAGAGTGATTTTTTTTTTTCATAAATTGTTTTCAGATGAGCTTTAAGTTGAAAATTATCACTGCATCAAAGTGCAATTTTCTACACTTCCTGAGAAAAATGCTAATTTAAGAAAAAAGTTTGATTCAGTAGCTAAATAAAGCTACGTCTGTTAGGTAAATAGAGCTATGTAGGTAGTTCAAGCTACGTAGCTAAATCTAGTGATTGTACCAGACCTGTTTAGGTAGGCCTAGGTCTCACCGATCGGGCTCGGTACTCCTCAAAAGGCTGGCCTCAAAAACAATAATAATTGTATATTATACAAAACCATACTATTTTATGAAATAGTTATTTACACAAAAATGTTAAATAAATAATTAAGTGACTTGACTTATTCCTGATAAGGCTGATTGCATTGGGCCGCGAATATTTAAAAGTGAGGTAGGCCTACTTCAAATGAAACTGAAATCTCTACACGCGTCTGATCCAATATTAAGTCTGATCATCACAACCTGACCAAGTGCTTAGAAGAATATGGGTCATGGACCTTTCTTCTTGTGCGTGGATTTTTTAAAAGGAAAAGACGAACCCACCTTTTTCTTGATCATTGTGAATGTTCACTGACGCCATTCCGAAACCGAATTTAATCCGATCCCGATCTAATTTACACATTAATTTGTGAAAGAGTGTTCTAATTTTGTTCTCAGTTTATAAAAGTTTTTATTATGCCCCCGTATCGAAGATTCGGGTGTATAAAGTTTTTGCCCTGTCCGTCCGTCTGTCTGTCTGTTTGTCCACAAAAACTGTAACATTGCGCATAACTTTTGATTGGTTGAAGCTATATGGCTTTCATATTTCACGTGTATTCCATCATATTTGACCTTGGAGTTTGACCCAGTTTTGCAAAATTTTACCAAACTTTAACCTTGGCCAAAACTTTTGAACAACTGTGCTAGGGCTCTCACACTTCCCATGTGTAATCCTTGTGACAAGACCTTCCTTTGGATACCAATAATTTAACTTTGTCTCTTTGACAGATAAAAGTGTATTTTTAAGGTAAAGTGGGTCTTGTTCAACAAAAATGTATATTTTTATGCAAACTTTTAGGATAAATTTTTCAAAAAATGGAGCAAAGACCCACTAAGGGCACTCATATCGAAAATTTGTGTTGTAGTATGAGAGAATGATCCTTTTCGCCCTCTTTAGTGTGTGTATGCTATTTATTCATTGGCAAATAATTTCAATCTTTGTGAAATTTTTGCAGATTGTGGAGATTATACATAAAGCATACTTTTAATGTTAGATGAAATGACAAAGAAAATTTTGTTATAATTGAAATTTAATTTTTCACCTTCATGTTTGTTTCACTATAGGCATTTCGCTCGCCTTGTTCCCCAATCTTCTTTTGCATTGAATTACATAGAAAGCGACACAAAGTCGCATATTTAACCACATGACAAAGAAAACTTACGATTTCTTTATATTTTAGGGATATATTATTTAATATGTCGTTTCTATCCAAAATCAGTCAAAAATATATATCAATCCATGCATCAATTTTTTTGTTTGTGTTTATATGTATCCTTAAGTGTAGTCTAAAGCACTTATGTAAATGATGTAATTTAGCTTGAAAAAAATATTTGGGTTACACAGTTGATTCTCTTTCACAAAGTTAAAATTGTCACACATATACAGCAAATACCTTGATTGCAAATACAAACTAACATTATACATTTATTGACTGGGTTCGAGGGCAGTTAGGCCGAAGGCAAACAGTTTGATTCTTGGGTCCGACAAAACGCATGTTGCCCTCGAACCCAGTCAATAAATGTTTGTTATACCTTTTATTTACTTATTTTTTTTTTTACATACATGTATGTCGAACACCAACAAATGCAAATGAGATTTAGCTGACCCCGCCCATTGTGTGACGTAAGCGGTCCAACATCTCATCGGCAGGTCTTATATCTCACGCCGCGGTCAAACATCGATTTTTTTTATGCCCGCTCAGTAAAACATTGGAAATGTTAGACATTTATTAGTATTGATTTATATAGAAACAAATTTTAAAGGTATAACAATGGGTCTTATTTTGGCTGATATATTTCATACCAACTGTTGGGTCTTTGTTTTAAAACTAAATTTGACTATGGATTAATTTGCTTCCTGATCAATACACAGGGTTCACATGATGGTGTGAACGGTCGACAGGGGATGCTTACTTTTCCTAGACACCTGATCCCACCTCTCGAATTACCAGGGGTCAGTGTTATGCCCTGTTCACAGATTTGTATTGTTTGTAGGTTTTTTTTTTTTTTTAGATTGATCACTGTTCCTTATCTACATTCATTTATTTTTCATCTGTACTGCTGCTGACCTCACCAAACTGCATTTTTATGGACGTTATTTCTACTTTTTTCTCATTATCTTTGCATGCTGTATTAAAGTTCAACCATATCGTAAGCTATAAAATGAAAATTAAATAAAAATTACATTTGTGTACCAAGTCATGTTCTCAGTTGAAAAAAAAATGTTTACGGACTAAACCAGTTTAACGTGCATTGAACTAAATCAGGAAGTAGAGCCGTATACGTCTCAATGCAGAGCTGGTTAATTTTCTAGAAGTGATCACGAAGTGTTGTACGGTATGAGGTTCCCGGTATTCCGAATTTCACATGGCATAATCTTGATTTCATTTCTCCACGGTAAGCTCAAAGCAAAACTTTATGTGTATTTTTTTCCCAAAATATTATTTTTTCATGTATATTTTGTTATATTTTTTTTTTAGTTCAACACCCAACATCCGATATTTCAAAGACTTTTATTCGAATGAAACTGGTCAACAGCTACATTATTTCTAGTTGAGATCATATCTTTTACTATTGTCATGTTCAGCACATTGGATTTGATCTAGTGAAGAATTAGACGCCTTGTATTGGTTTCTACTGATTTTTAAATAGTTTCCTGTGCGTATTATATATCGTTCACGATGTTCCAACACATATGCCTATAAAGCTCATTGATGACACTATTATACCATACATGTATATACACACACACACACACACACAAAACTAGCTAACTAGTTTTGCATTCACACCTGTGTATACCATGGTATAAGAGAGTATAAAAGGATGGCTAGTTGTTTTTTGATTAGTGTTGGGTGATTTTTTATGATATAGAGATTAGGGTACTAGTTATATTCTGGTTAACCTTATTAGCTTACTCTGTGATAAGTTCTTAACGTTGTCACAAAGTATAGTAAAAATTAATAAAATGTATATGGCTACAGATAGATCATTTCAGTGCATTGATAATAGTGTCTAACGAATTTCTGATGGGATAAAATTTTCTGTTTCTGAGTAATAAAATTTGAATTCAAGTAAATGTATGAAATGATATAACAATAGTTCCTTGAATGAATATTTCTACTTCTCTTGAAAGACGTATATACAATTAATAAATATTATCTAAATCAAATAAATTGAAATTTTAATTCATTGATACCTCCATATAAGGAAATTTGATACTCTTCATATATTGACAATGTGTTTTCATGGCGGAAGAATTTTAAAAATGTTCAAACATGTTCTTTGTTTCACATGACGAAATATTAAAAAAAAGACGTGCTGAACCTCAAGTGAGAGATATCCGACAAATGCTTGTTCTTAATCGAGTTATTTAATTTGCTGTCTAAATATCTAAAGAACGTTCGTTGATATGAAAAAAAAAAAAATTAAAAAAAGATCTTGAAAAGCATTTGTCATTTTCTGCAGAGAAAATGTATGTTGAGTTGTATTATACAATGGTCAAAGCGACAATGATCTTTATATTTGAGCTGTATTATACAATGGTCAAAGCGACGATGATCTTTATATTTGAGCTGTATTATACAATGGTCACAGCAACAATGACCTTTATATTTGACAATGATATCTTATTTCCTTGATTTATGTACTGTGTGTTAGTATAACAGGTAAATAAGCCTGGGTTGACATTATTATAAATGTAAAATTGCAAAATATACATGTGGATTTTATCTTTTTCTTTATTTTAAGGGATCACGTCTATTATTTTTACATGTGACAATGGTTGGAGTTATTTTAGCGGGAAATGTTACAAAGCATTTCTTGGTGGTAGAGACTGGCATGCCACTCGTAGAGCTTGTTTAAACCTCGGTGCAACACTACCTGTAGTACCAAACAAAGCCACACACGAATTTATCGTCAGTTCTTGTACGTAGTCGTGTATCTGAATTAGTGAGTATTGATACATAACATTCAATAGCAAATAGAGAAAAAATGTACCAAGTATTCAATAAACATTTAAGACTACAAAGCATTGTATAAAGCAATCTTTAACTACAGTGACTGTCATATAAGTATCTAAACATATGCCTTCGTATACTTTTTTAAGATGGAGAAAACTTATTACCCTAGTTCTCATTATTACGGTTTTTGTAGATGGGAGACAGTGGGGTAGATTTGGAACATACTTGTCTGCAAATGACATTTCCAGTGAAGGAACATGGAACTGGGTGGATAGCGAGGAACCGTTTTCTTTCACATACTGGGGGCCAGGCATGTTATAGTTTACTGTTTTGGGATTTATAAATAAGACTTTTTATATCTCCGCTCCGAAAGAGAGAGAGGGGGGGGGTATACTGTTTTACCCTTGTGTGTGTGTCTGTCTGTCTATGTGTCTGTCCGTAACAAATTTTCGTTGCAGTTTTCTCAACAACTACTCATCGCAGATGCTTTAAATTTTAGCACACTCTGTGCCTAGGCATGTCATATGGTGGGATTCATTTTTGCACAAATCTGATGTCAACTTCCTGTTTTTCCGTGCGTCTGTCCGTACCAAAATTTCGTCACAGTCTTCCCAGCAACTACTCATCGCAGATGCTTGAAATTTTAGCACTCTCTTTGTCTAGGCATGCCATATGGTAGGATTCATTTTTCTACAAAACCGATGTCAACTTCCTGTTTATCCGTGCGTTTGTCCTTACCAAATTTTCTTTTCTCAGCAATAACTCAAGGCAGATGCTTGAAATTTTAACACACTCTTTGTTTAGGCATGTCATATGGTGGGATTCATGAGAGCCTATATTCACGTCAGAGCGGGGGGATTACTAGTGAGCATTGGCTTACAGTCTTCTTGTTCTACCTCCGAATATACTTATAGTAAGGGCTCTATTGCAGGACAACCAGACGATGCTTCAGGGAATGGCGAAGATTGTTTACACATTTGGAAAGAGGCATCGAATACGTGGAACGACCTACCTTGTCGTAGTGTGGTTAACAATTATATCTGCACTAAACCAGGTACTATCCCGGTAATAGTGTTATTGGGACTCAGTATGGTAAGACTCTGTGATTTATTGTTATGCTGTATACTGTTTTCCTAATATAATATTTTGAGAATATGATTTTGAAGGTAGACTGTCTGGTGGCATATCTTCCTTGACTTGTAATGGCTGTGGTGATTCTGTCTGTCAAATTGGTACATTGTCTGGACGCAGGAGTAAGTTATTTATATAGCAGTTTCATTACTATATACTGAATTGCTATGTTGTGTCATTATGACAATTATCCAGTTAGATGGAAGTGAAGTTTACTGGTTAAATTTAATACCCTTCCTAAAGACGGCTGATGTGATATTTTGAAAGCCCTTTATAGCAATCATCTTATGACACAAGTGCATTATTATCATTAAGTGGTCGCTCTTTTGTACCATCCTCTATTCGCGCTGTTTTACGAGAGAAATCTGGACAACTGGTCCAGCCTTAAATTTCATCAGATAGAGGCGGAAAAAGGAACGTAAGTACTACATTATATTCTTTATTCATTATGATTCTACTGGTTACAGTAGCCTAATCAAGTGGTAGGACGTTCGCTTCGTGATCAGGAGGCCCGGGTTTGATTCTTGTTTGTCGAGAAAACAACATACACATTTACATACATACATACATGCATGAAATCAATCAATATCATAATGTTCCATAATTAGAGTCAAGCATTTATCAAATTATATATCCAAATTTGCATATGGCATTGCATCTAAAAAGCAAGCATTGTTTGAAACATCTGTGAGGTCGTATTTACACACCCTCCTCAAGAAAAAAAAATGAATCCCGAAATGAAGGGTCCTGGATCAAGTTACCAAGAAATCATTCATTTTTACCTTATGGAAATCAGGTATGGTTTTTGAATGAAATATGGAGATACCGAACAGTATTCAAACTCATAGTCCACTTAAACAATACAAATCGGGAGCAGAGCAAACACGGACCTCCAAAATCATCAGAGGTGGGATCAGCTGCTATGGAGGAGTAAGCATCCCCTTTCCATCGGTCACACCTACCGTGTGCTCATTGTCATGATCGGGTAAACGGAAATACCAAGTCATTTTTTTTTCAACACATTTCTTTTATACTATCTTATGACTAGGTTTCTTAACTCTAAGACAGCCTGACATGGAGGCAGAGAGGAAGATGTTCACACATCGGAAAAAAGTGTCTTTTCTCATCGCATTCAGAGCAGCAACAAAGATGGGTATCTTGCAATATTGTTACTCTTGAATTTACGTTTTGTTCCTCCTGTGTAGGTATTATTTTGTCAGGTGCACTTTTATTTGTCTGCGAAAAGCCACACTTGCACAAAAAAGCCTGAAATTCTTTTTCCAAAACCCATAAAATGGAACTTCTCAGTAAGATATAAATATTGCATAAAGTTCTGACATTCCAAAAGTTCTTTTGACAAGGAATATACAGAATGCTGTGTTGGGATCGATCTATTTATCAAGATTCAGGCGTATTTGATATCCGTTTAACTGAAGAAGTAATATTTTTCTTGGTTACAAGGACAACCATGTCTGAGTTATTAAATAAATGTCGGTATTGTGTACAAACTCTGTGATGTCTTAGCAGAATATACGCTCATGTACAATTCAATTTAAAGTCGCCCGCGTGGCGCAGTGGTTAGAGGTTTGCTCTAGACTCGCGAAGTAAGGAGTTGATCCTTACGTCGCGGGTTCGAATCCCACTGCGGGGCGTGGAGAACGGTCCTTCGGATGAGGCCATATAAACCGAGGTCCCGTGTTGCAGTAGGAGTTAGCATGAAAAAGATCCCTGACTGCTCAATGGCCCTGAGTGCCGAGTAAAGGTCCAAATTTATAGCCCTCCACCGGCAAGTGGTGGCGTCTCCATTTGAATGATTGATTAATTGTATGTTTTACGTCCCATTCGAGAATTTTTTCACTCATAAAGAGACGTCACCATATATCGGTGAAGGGCTTCAAATTTTGACCTTTACTAGGGACTCAGGGCCATTGAGCAGTGAGGGATCTTTATCGTGCCAACGCCTGCCGTGACATGGGGCCTCGGTTTTTAAGGTCTCATCCGAAGGACCCGCAAGTTTTACTTCAAAGTGCTGAGCGCATGGCGAAGGCACAGTTGCTACCCATTTTTTATCGACTTAGGTCAGTCGCGGCCGAGATTCGAACTCACGACCTCCCGATCACGAAGCGAGCGCTCTACCGACTGAGCTACCGTGAAGGGTCCCATATGAATGAAAAATTCTCGAAAAGGAAGTTAAACAACTATAACTACGATTCAATTATTGTGTAGTTTATAATTTAACCATGTTTTCGAATGTTATACATGAAATAATATTTAAGGAGGAAAGGGAAACTTTTCCATCTATATTTTTTTCTAAAATGTTTACTAAAATTGTTTCAAAGTTTTCACAGTTGAAAGTTACAGGTGGGTTTTAAGAGAGAAACCAACAAATTGTGATTTTATGAGCTTCTGTGTCATTAATAATTCCTAATCACTGGAGTACCTGAAGACGACACTGTGTTCTCTGACCAAAAATTTGTTTGACTTTATTGTTTTACTCTGTGCCCTTGAAACTTTTTTATGGATTATTTGAGGAAGCTAACAAGTCCATACTGGACCAGAATACAGACTAGTGTACGTGGTTATGGATGTTGCCCAACACAAGTTATTGAAACCGCCACGTATTATGGAAGATAATTCCGAATCAACCCATCGATTTCTAAAAAGGTAAAGACGCTATAAATATTAGCAACATTCTTTGTCATAAAAAAGTTCAGTCGTATTTCGACATATTTTAAGTTGAAGTCTACACCTTGCATTTCCTACAGATATTTCCCAACTGTTGCATCCAAAATTTTCAATTATAAACGAACTGTACAGTGGTAGACAGTGTCCATGTAAAACAAAATCCTCCTTAGTGTTCTTGTTTTTCCTCTTCTTTCAATTATAGTCCAGCGGAACACATCATTACTGGTGATGCAAGTATAGTTCAAAATGACGACCTAAAAGCTATCAATTTAAAAAAGTCCTTAATTCAGGGAGCCCAGGTCTTTCAAATAATCGCGTCAGAACCTCATTTCTATTATGAATTCCATCGAAGAGTGTGCTAGATGATGGGCTAAATATGAAGGGGAAGACATTGATACTCGAATGGATAAAGCATTATATATATATATATATATATATATATATATATATATATATATATATATATATATATATATATATATATATATATATATATATATATATATATATATATATATATATTCTACATACAAGTACTCTGAAGTTGACATTAAAAAAGATGTGTTTGAGTTCCTCATTGACAACATCTTTGTAGTCTTTGGATACCAAATCTTCAAACAATCTGAATGAATTTCACGGATACTTAATGTGCCCCTTTATTTGTTATTATTATTCATCTATTTCATATTTGGATGTTTTACTGACTATAGACAATAATGATTAATTTATAACTAAAGAGTATGACAAATAATAAGTTGAAGTTACAGGAATTTCAACACGCCTATAAAGTCAGCTTTTTGCAAGATTCTACGGTTGTAACAATGACCTTACAACCTATCATTGGGTCGTATTTTGTCTGATATGTTTGATATCATTTTTAGGTCATTGCTTTTATACTAAAACTAACTATGGAGTACTCCGTATACCTGATAAATACATAGGGCTCACGGCGGGTGTGATCTGTCGACTGGGGATGCTTACTCCTCCAAGGCACCAGATTCCACCTCTGGATTTCCGGGATACCGTGTTTTGTCCTGTTCAAGATTCTTTGTTGTACTGGAATTATGAGATTAATAGCTGTTCGTTATCTTCACATGATGACATATTTGTCCAGTAGTATATATGTGTATCGTCATAAAGCAGTAAAGCTTATGATTTTTCTAACTAATGCACTTTAGTAGAACTTGGATTGTCTAACTGATGATGCACTTTAGTAGAGCTTAGCATTGTCTAACTGATGCACTCTAGTAGAGCTTAGTATTGTCTAACTGATGCATTTTAGTAGAGCTTGTGATTTTCTGACTGATGCACTTTAGTAGAGCTTATGATTGTCTAACTGATACACTTTAGTAGAGCCTGTGATTATCTAACTGATACACTTTAGTAGAGCTTATGATTGTCTAACTGATACACTTTAGTAGAGCTTAGGATTGTCTAACTGATACACTTTAGTAGAGCTTATGATTGTCTAACTGATACACTTTAGTAGAGCTTAAGATTGTCTAACTGATGCACTTTAGTAGAGCTTAAGATTGTCTAACTGATGCACTTTAGTAGAGCTTATAATTGTCTAACTGATACACTTAAGTAGAGCTTATAATTGTCTAACTGATACACTTTAGTAGAGCTTATGATTGTCTAACTGATGCACTTTAGTAGAGCTTATGATTGTCTAACTGATACACTTTAGTAGAGCTTAGGATTGTCTAACTGATACACTTTAGGAGAGCTTAGGATTGTCTAACTGATACACTTTAGGAGAGCTTAGGATTGTCAAACTGATGCACTTTAGGAGAACTTAGGATTGTCTAACTGATGCACATTAGTAGAGCTTATAATTGTCTAACTGATACACTTAAGTAGAGCTTATGATTGTTTAACTGATGCACTTTATCGACGCAGCAGTAGTGGTTCATATGACATTGAAAATAAGATGACACTACTGAGCAGCAATAGTACATGTTTGAACAAGGATTGAAGCGAAGGTTGTTCTTATTTCATTATCGTGATATTTCTATCCAATCAAGAAGATGCAATTATGCTGAATCGTTCTTGAGTGTTTTAAATGTCCAATCCATGTTTTTTTTTTTTTTCGGAGAGTGAGCAATCAGGAAGAGAAAAAAAAACCCAAATCATTCAGACAAAAACAGAAGGTTAAAATAAAGACTACTCTTTATAAACCTATCATTGTATCATTTTCCTGATTTTATTAATTATTTTAAAAGAAGTAGCAATCACAAATTGATGTGTTTAAATTAGTATTTATCACGCGTTGTTCGTGTCACATTTATTTTAAGCAAAATACTTCTAATTACAATAGTATTTTACAACTTCAGTATTGATACAAAATATTTTGATACATATATACATATACATTGATAAAAGAAAAAAAAAAAACAGAACCGCAGTAATGGCATTTTATGGTAGCAATTTTAATCACTTATAGGCAGTTGTTACTAACTTAGACGAAAATGGGAGGTGTAGACATGATTTGCAGGTACCTCGATGAAAAATGTTATTACCAAGATTATTAAATTGCATCCCTGAATGCAGGAATAACAGTTTAGCTAATTATTGAGCATAAAGAAAAGCATTAATGTCTCTTAACATATGACTTATCCAAAACACCATTTTTATTCTAGAATATTAAATGGATTGATAATATACATTTAATTCATATTCTTTAAAAATTTTAACTTAATTTTTTTTAACTTTATCTCTGTAATCCATTCGATGGCAACTTTGTCTAAGTAGACACGCCTACATTTTTTTGAGATCGATTATTGTTCATTTTCTTCACTATTTTTACTACGGCTCTCTTTTTTTCTCACTTTTTGTGATACCTTGAAGACTGTGTAATAATCGTGTAATACGCGATTAGAAGATTTACATTTTACAGATATACTTTTGGACAATCAAACAACACTTTAAACTTAGTAGATCTTTATACCTTTCCTTTTCATTGAAAGTAGATACAATTGCTGTTTCCTACCAATGTGACAATGGATGGGACAAATTTGGCGATAAATGCTACAGACTGTTTCCTGGATCAAGGAACTGGTTTCAAGCTAGCAAGAGGTGTGCAACGCATGGATCGACTCTACCGATAGTGTCAAATAGAGGAATCCAAAGATTCATTATCAGAGAATGTAACTAATTTTCGTATTTTTCAGATAAACTTTGTTTAGTCATAAAAATCGTATTCTATTTAAAATATGTTAAGGACAAACATATGATTTATTCAGTGTGATGTCTATCTAAATCTTGTTGTCTGAATGATTTGTTTTTCTTGTTATAATTTTTTTTTTCTGCATATTTTATACGTTTTGGTGTAAGCAAAAATATGGTTCGAGGTCTTTTAAAACAAAATTCTTTTTCAAATGAATTATTACCAATTGAATAGCACGCAATACATGAGCTTTTTTGTACAGTGAGCATTTATTATCGGAACACCTGGAAAGTCTAAACCTGTTTTAAGATTTTTTGAGATCAATCACTTTTTGTTATCTTCACTTTTTTCATTAATTATATTTGTGTGAACCTATCATTTTTTCCACATCGATCAGTTCAATATTTATTTGTGTTGGTAGAATGAACATAGTGTAACAAACATTTTGGAAACGTTGTTTCTTATTTAAAAATTTATTTTGCTTATAAGTAGTGGTTTTAAAATTCATTTTCTCGTGAATTTTGAAGATGGACATCTGTTGGGTTCACTTGGAGTGTTTTTGGCAGGAACTGATATTAAGAAAGAGGGAACATGGGAATGGGTGCACAGGGACAACCTTTTTCCTTTTCCCCCTGGCAAAAAGGTATGAAGCTCTACCTACTTCAAAATTTGCGCATTATTTAAAAAATTAATGCTGAATCTCACCTCATAGCTTTTACAACGCATTTTGAAATTTTCATCATACTCTAATTTGAAGAATACTAAATAACTGTACTTTACTTTCAGGAGAACCAAACAATGATAACCCAAAAGTGGGTATGTGTTATACTCAATTTTTTTCATACTACGTTTGCTCAAAGGGTGCCATATATTTATTTTGACAAATATAGAGACCCTAAAATCAAGAACAGAACATCAAACGAAATTTCTACGTCCTTGGACAAGCGGCGTACTGCCTCGCGTCGTTTTCTTGAACTTTTAGACATCGTTCACTGTTTCATATACAAATATTAACGATGTTAAGAAATCTTTGCCAAACATTTTAAAGTTTCCAATGCCATCTATCATTAACATGAAAGATGAAATGTAAATTAAAATAACATAGATTACACCGATTTGTCCACAGAATTATATTTTTAGGAAGAGTTTTTGAGATATATCATAAAAATTTAAAATAAATATCTTGTACTCCAGAATGTGAAAACATACCTTTATTAACCAATATAAGGCATGTTTCTGTTGAATTTCAAGCGAAGAATTGATGATTATCTAAATATGTGGATTTCCTGTGTAGGCGTTAGGGATTTTTTTCTCTCATTTTTATCAGTTATTTACATTATATGATTCGTCTTTCTGGTAGTGATTTTTTAAACAACTTATGTTCATTGTACGAATGAATTAAAAGCATTTAGTGATATGTGTGGTGAGATAACGAACAGTATTCGAGCTCAAAAGTCCATTAAACACTACAAAATAGGAGGAGAGCAAACACGGACCTCTAAGATATCAGAGGTGGGATCAGGTGCCTAGAGGAGTGAGCATCCCCTGCCGACCGGTAACACCCGCTGTGTGCTCCTTGTCATGATCGGGAAATAACGGAAAAATCCGTCGACAATTCAGTGTGTAAATAATGGCCTAACAATTAGTATGAAAAACATCAGTTAGCATTTGACTTAATGAAAGATTGTATTTGCTGACAAGGTCATTATATCGACCATACAACTTAGAAATGATGACTTAAACGAGACTGCTGATATTCTTGATATGGTTCGTAATTTTGCATAGTTTATATAAGTGATTTAAGTTAGAATGTGAATCATGTATGTTATAAACTGTTTAATCAAAGTAATTCTTGTTTTAATGTCGACAAGTTTTTTTTTTTTGTGATTTATTCTACATCAAACAATTTGAAGTAAAATGATAGGTCAAAATTGTATCACATGATGTCATTTAATAAACTTATCGGATGTCTTAGATCCTACATCGATAAGATATCATTCCAAATATCAAATATTGCAAATACTGCTTTGATAGCGAAGGGAGTTCGGGCAGACATTATTTTCATATTAGATTATACAGATATTTGAAAATCCTCTCTGATGCTTTTCAAAAAAGCATTTTTTAATGAAAAAGTAAGACATATGATTAACACATACTGTAAATCACTTTTTATTTTCCAGAACTTTATTTTTGCGTAATTATGCAAGACCATCTGCTAAAGAAAATTTCCTTCTTGCCTAGATTTGTATAATTAAAGATCAGGATTAAGAGATGAATTTAATTTTTGAGAATTCATGAGAACCTGAACTACGAGGCTTCACGCCGTCATATTTCATGAAGCGCGTTAGCGCTTCATGATAAATATGCAGGCGTGAAGCGTTGTAATTCATGTATCTCATGGATTCTCAAAAATTAAATTCATATCTTATATGTACATTATTTTTCTGATGACTTGCCACATATTTTTGTCATTCAACGATCATTTTTGAAAAAAAAAATTTGCACTATTTTTTCACTTCAATCACATCACAATGGAAATATCCTTACTCCCACGGTAGTTCATGAGAACATGAACTTTTTCTAATTTGCAAAGAATCTTAAAGAAAAATATTTGGAAATGTAAATATATAGCGATTAACTAAATTCGTGAAAAATTTGACTCGCTTATGGATACCAACTAACCGTCTCGCGATGAAAAGGTATATCGAAAATTTGTTATCTACATAGGTGAAAAATAAAATGGTGAATGGTTTAGAACTGCAATAGTTTAACTGCAACTGTAACTTTATGTTCAGTATGACTGAGTCATAAACATGAAAATATTGTTTTTTGTTTCCAATAATTTATTTGAATTTTAAATACACAGGTAGACTGTCTGGTGGTATATCTTCCCTGACGTGTGGCTTTGGAGCATCTGTCTGTCAAATTGGTACAGTGTTTGGGCCCACGAGTAAGTTGTTAACATACTAATACCATTATGAAATGCCAAGTTTCAATGCCGTGCCAATTTGACAATAAACAGTTGGATGGAAGTGAATCGTTTACAAGGCTTATACGTTTTTCAGCCCGTTTTTTAAATTCAGTATTCTTCCTTAGGTTGGATGTAGTATAATTTTGAAATTAAAAAAAAGAGAACCGTTCATTGCGATTTACTTTATTTTCTCACAATTTTAACATGAGTACATTATTACTGTTAAGTGTAGCTCTTTTGCGCAATTTTCCATTCGCGCAGTTTTCGAGAGAAATATGGAAGACTGGTCAAGCTGTAAACTTCATCAGGCAGAAAAAAGGACTGCAAGTATTCCATTTTATTATATGTTAATATCTTCATTGAATTGTTTTTATCATTGTATTTTGTTTACGATGATATAGATATATATCGAATATTAAAATGTGCATGGGTGTCAAAACTATATCACGTATTTATTGATAGCATATTGTGGACTGAAAACCGGTTCGCAAACAGAATTTCAAGTGAGAAAGGAAGCTTTTTATCATTTATCTACTTTTAACATTAAATTAAAGTTTTCTTAGTGCGTTGTTTCTAATGAGTAAGAGAGGGTGTAAGAGATCACGATTTAAAAACAATCCTCGTGACATAATTATAAATTATCATCTGTAACTTTCAATATTACAATAGAGTACCTGAAGTCGACATTTGTTCCTTGAACATACACACTGTTATACATATGTGTATTATCTGTCGATGAAAGATATGATGGTAATAACGAACAGTATTCAAGCTCAAACGTCCATTAAACAATGCAAATCAGGAGCAGAGCAAACACGGACCTCTAAACATCAAAGGTGGGATTAGGTGCCATGGAGGAATGAGCATCCCCTGCCGACCGGTCACACCCGCCGTGTGCTCCTTGTCATGATCGGGAAATAACGGATAAATCCGTCGACAATTCAGTGTGTAAATAATGGGCTGACAATTAGTATGAAAAACGTCAGTCAGCATTGACTTAATGATAGATTTTATTTGCTGACAAGGTCATTGTATCGACCATAGAACTTACGAAATGATGATTTTAAACACTGTGAAGTGAGTTTTAAACAATATCATTAAATATATCCACAAACAAATGTTCAGTGTTACATTGCTTTTGCCATAACGTTATGGAGATTGTCGATTGGAAGTAAGTGGTTCATGTGACAATGAACATAGCATGACACTACTTACCAGTACACTTAGTAGCAGATGTAGGTACAAGTAGTTAGGTTGAAATGAAGGTTATTTTGATTTCCTTATCTTCTGTCGTTCTATCGAATCGAAGAGCTAACACGAACAGTACTAACATATCTTTCTTGAGTGTTTTAAGTGTCCAATCCATGACTTTTTTTTTCGGAGAGCGAGCATTCAGGAAGAGGAGAGAAAAAAAGGAAAGGTTAAAAGATAGGTTACACGTTGAGTTGCTTTCATTGCATTGTTTTCCTGATTTTAATTACATTATTATACAAATTTATGAGTTGAGTATCTTCAAAGATATGTTTAAGTGTTTAAAGTTTTATTGTCCTATCACAAAAGTTTTGAACAACCATAACATTGATATTGAGTATTTCGGTATTATGTCTTTTTAGGTGAAAACAATACTAATTACAAATTAGCACCTATATAAGGTGTTATGTATCCCATCTGAATCGGTACGCAAGATATTAAATTCTGCGTACGAGTCAGGGGCTGTTTACTTCTCCAAGGCACCTTATCCAATCTCTGATAATTCCTTTGGTCTGTGTTTTAACCCTTTTCATAATTCGTATTGTTTATAGGATTGTGGAATTGATAGCTGTTTGTTATCTCCACCTTTTCACAATACTGTAAACTTTTTTTTCTACGAAGATATAAATTCGCGGAATCACAATATCTGTTCAAACCAGAGATAATAATATTTAGCGAATTTCTTAGACTGTTTTATATGCCTGAAACTCAATTTAAGTACGCTGTGATATTACCGCGGAAAATTTATGATCGATTAGATGTATATAGCGAAAATTAATCCAACGCGTAAAAAAGTACGTCTACAGAAGTAATTAAGCATGTTCCCAGTTCGATATGTTCCAGTGAACTCGAAATTAAAGACCTAACAGAGTCTGTCACATCTGTTTCATGTTTGGATGTTTTTTCTGAGTTCGTGGCCAACTTTAAACTAAATGACATGTATATAGCAAACAGGATGACTTCAGTTTTTTTTTTTTTTTTGATAAGTTGAACAGTAGTATAGGTGATGTAATAATACGATATTCATCATTATTTTGCATGAGTAGCCAATCCGAGGGTTGTTCGAGAGAACAATCAGGAAGAATATTGAAGAACTGCTGTCAAAAGGAAAAGGAAGGCATGTAGCTTACAGATATTGTAGCCACTATTCAGTTTCTTTGTCTGAATTTATTAACGATATATTTGAAGTTGAAAAGATATTAAAAATAGATGCCTTGGAATAGATATTATGTGTTCTGGTTCGTATGCGTTTTAAATGAAGTCAAAGGTAGGTTAACTGTATCACTGAGCTTCGTTCATACAGAGATAAAACTTTTTTTTTTAAATCTAGATTTTGAAAAGCATTTTCCATACCCCAAAAAATTAAATTTGTATTTCATTCTGCTTGTCCTTTAGCTCGTTCTTTGGTAGTCATTTTCCCCTATTTTCATTCAAACAAATTTGTCTAGCCTTCTATTCACTTTGTATCTTTTACTCGCATATACAGTAATCATTCTCGTGAAACTGTTTCTTAATATTTTGATCCCTTGCTAGTAAGTACAATTTGGACTGAAAATACTAATATCTGCAAATTTCATGTATTCTCCTCAAGGTAAAAACAGTGTTAATACTATCTTTTTTCCTATATTCTGGACAGAAATTAAAGAAAAAATAGCAAATTAGAAATTGCTGCACTTAGTTTTATAACATGAAAAAAGTGGTAATCACGATAACTCTGGAAAAAAACAATGTAAAAAAAAAACATGTCATTTTAGCTACATGCAATTACAGTTTTACAAAGAAAGGATCGATTCGTTCCAAATACAGTGAAGATCTATAGAGTCGGGATTGGTTAATTCTTTACAAAAGGCTTTTCAATTTCAGTTTCGTTCGATGACTTAAGGTTACGCAAGTTAGGAACCTTTTCATGGACATTAAATCTGTGGTATGAAAGTGTAGACACATTTGAGTTCTTATTTCCTACTTGATAAACATTTATTCTACAACCCTTTTCTATAGAAATAAAAAGAATGCAATTCATGCAGGATACATATTATTTCAATGAAATCAGAAGAAGTGCAGTTCGTAATATCTCGCCTGACTGTTTTAAAATCTTGGATCCGAATTTAGACCATTGACTTCAAAGTTAATATTACATGTACATTGCAGGAACGGCAATGAGAGTAAATGGTCAGATCAACTGTGTTTTGCGAATTATGAGTAAGAACTGTATAAATATATGAACCAGGTTGTAAAAAAAGGTTTTCTTATTTTACATACATTTACGTTTTTTGTTTTGTTTTTTTTTTTACTTCAGGGCAGGGTACCTCTAAAAAGAATCATATTTCAAATTATTTCTTAGACCGCAACCTATAAAAAATATTTTGATTTTACATACAGCGAGTCTAGCTGTCCTGAAGGACCTCTAGGCCAAAATTCATGATAAATCGACTTTTAAGGATCTTCTATACACTGCGCACTAAAGAGCTTTGATTCTGTTGTATTTTATGCAGTAAGTGAGAATTCTGTCATTACATCTAAACTAAATCAAATGATATATACAGTGAAATACTCAATTTGTATTCTCAATATGTTATTAGACCAAGATAAATTAATTGAACCTTTTTCCCATTTAAGTAAGCGACATTGATTTCTGATTATCAATACTTCGTTGTCTTTTAACATTTTTTCTTGGGGTATATGGTAGATACCCAGTGTTGAAAATGAAAAAGATGATCTCTGAATTTACACCTTTATACAATATTATTTTTAGTACCAAAAAGGCAGGAAGGTCCTTCAACCGAAAAATGCAGTTTTAGCCAACATTCAAGGTTAATTTTAAAATTGCAAGTACATGTAATCAATTCTTGGTTTTTAGTGACGTTTCCACACATTTTTTATTTTTTTTTTAAATTTATACTCAAGTTGTTGCTATTTGTAACAATGCAACTAAGCAAAACTGCATAAACCTTGTTTTAAATTTTCATATTGAATAACGGAAGCTCTTGTGTTGAGATAAAAAGTCTCTCAAGCTAATCAGGACAGAATAACATACCACTTATTCTTACATTCGTTTTTGCGTGTGCGATTGTAAATTTAAGAACACACTTCAATGATCAGTTTCATTGCGACTACTGAGTCATGTACCTTAGATGCTGGGCTTTGTTTTCGAGTCAAGTTCATTTCAAAAAGATCAGGTGGTCTTTGGCTCTGAGAAAATCCCTCTGACAAATATCAAGAAAGAGAAAGTTGGCATTACTTTCATTTAATTATTGTGTTGGTAATATGGTATGTCTTGATTTCAATTCAAAAATCATATTTCAAACACAGAAATTTGTTTTCTCTCTTCTTATTTTTGAAGCAATAAAAAAAATGTCATTATTCACCAATTCTTCGCTCAGTTGCTTCAATGACCTCGACCTGTAAGCTATTCCCTTGTCAATCACCTATCCAACACACCATTGTGATCCCAGGGCATCGAATGGCTTAAAACGCTTGATAATAAACAATCGAGTCTTAGTTATTTTGAGATTCTAATTTTAAATTCTTAGCTCACTAATTCAAGTAAATGTGATTGGTAAGGAAGACTTTTGTCTGTAAGTATTTCGACCACAGCATTACCTAAATAGCCGGCCTCTCCCCCCCTTTCTGTAACTATGCAACAAATTCGTAAATAAAGTAGAAATAATATATTTTTGGACAATCAAACCAATTTGAAATCAGTCTTTATAAATGTCTTTTTGTTAAAAATAGATACAATTGCTGTTTCCTATCAATGTGACAATGGATGGGACAAATTTGGCGATAAATGCTACAGACTGTTTCCTGGATCAAGGAACTGGTTTCAAGCTCGTGAAAGCTGTGTAACTCAGGGATCGACTCTACCTATAGTGTCAAATAGAGGAATACAAAGATTCATTATCAGACAATGTAACTAATTTAAGTCATAAATATCATATTCTCCTTTAAAGCATGTCCGATCACTGTGAATCTCTGGACTTCTATATATAAATATACATATTTCGATATATCCCTTTGAACTTAAAATAAAAGATGCACAAAGTCTGTTTCCCTTTTGGATATTTCACTAGAAAAAGTCGTAAATAGTTACATTAAAACAAAACTATATGATAAACGTGATGACTTCAACTTTTCTATCGTCAACTCCCCTCATTTATATAGCAATATACCATCACCAGCATATGGCGTTTATATCTCCCAGTTGATTCGATACGCAAGAGCATATACTATGTACGAACAATTTCTAAAACGAAACAAGCTATTGACAAATAAGTTGATATCAACAGTCTTGATGTCAACATTTTGCAAATTCTATGGTCGATACAATGATCTTCTTAGCAAGTACAATCTATCATTAAGTCATATCTTGACTGACGTTTTTCATTCAAAATGATAGGGCAACAATTTTTTTTAAAAAAATAATCAATGGATTTTTCCGTTTGCCTGCTTGATCATGACAAGGAGCACACGGCAGATGTCACTGGTGGATGCTTACTTCCCCATGGCACCTGACCTCACCTCTGATGTTTTTGTAGGTCCGTGTTTGCTCTGCTCCAAAGTTGAATTGTTTTAATGAACTTTTGAGCTTGATTGCTGTTCGTAACGACGGATTGTATTTCATAATCGGAGTATCGACCATAGAATTTGCGAAATATTGGCTTGTAACCATTACACATTATAAACCACTGACAGTAGTTTCACAGCAACATTCATACAATCTGTTTTTATATTAAACACATTGTATATATTTCTGAGATTATATTTCTGTGAGTATATTTCTTCTGACATTGATCAGTTACATATATTTATTTATTTGTTTTGATTTAATTATATTGTACATTGTAAGGCAAACGTTTTGGAATACTGTTGCTTATTCAGGAATGATATTTCTTGTAAGTAGTCCTTTAAAAATTGTTTTTATGTGAAATTTGAAGATGGGCACCGGTTGGGTTCACTTGGAGTGTATTTGGCGGGAACTGATATTAACCAGGAGGGAAACTGGGAATGGATGTACCAAGATGAGTCATTTTCCTTCTCCTCTTGGGGAAAAGGTGGGATGCATGATGTCGACATTTTTTTTAAGTATCTTGTTTAATTCTACTATATTCTAAATTGAAAATTTTGAAGTTGTTTTAGATTTCTTTCAGGAGAACCAAACAATCATGGAGATGAAGATTGTTTACATATGTATAAAACACAACCTTACAATTGGAACGATATTTCTTGCCAGCGTTCCATCTCTAGCACATTATGCTCCAAACAAGGTATTATTACATTTCAACAACTATCATACCAAAAATGTATTCATATGTTTTAATCCTGTGATATATTACGTTCTATTTGAAGGGTTTCATATATAAATTTGTTCACAAACTTTCAGAAATTATTTCAAAGATATTACTTTCACTTCAAAATGTCATATTTCTACTTTCTTCAACACTTTCTTCTTTGCAGGTTATTTCTAAAATCTTTTAATGTATCATATATTCGACGATGTTAAAAATATCGGGGCTTAACATTTTAAAGTCCCCGACATGTACAAGATAGATGATATGAAAAAAACCCTTGGATTACATAAATTGTTAAAAAAATTGTTTCTATAAAAAAAAATCTGAGATGTATTATAAAGCTTTAAAAGATATACATTTAGTACTCCAGAAAGTTAAAACATGCTTTTAAAATCAATTTCTTTTGAAATTCAAGCATTAAACTGATGATTATCTAACTCTCTAAAAGTTTTTTCCTAGTCGTGATCCAATAGAAGCATATATTTTTTCTTCACTTTTATCAGTTTTTCATAGAATGTTTTCATTATTTATTATGTCTGACTGGTAGGTGTGATTGTTCAAAACAAATAAAATACTGTACGTGTATATAAACTGGCGTATTCAAAATTTAGCGCAATCACTGGGTATTGAGTTGTTGGTGAATAAGCACAACACATGTCCGTGTCATGTATTTAATTTATAAATGATTTCTTAGCGGTATTCTTGAATTAGCGCATCGTTTTCCTCGCCAAAGCCACATAAATACAGACCAAGCACGCTTTTAAAGTACATGTGCACATAAAGTACATTGTAAGACTGAATTAAAAGTATCTGAATTAAAAGTAGAAAATTATACGGTAGCACTATAAAATATAAGTATGTGATATTACAGGTCTTAGTCAGTTCCATGTTGGCCCAAAGTTGTCATATCATGAAAAAAAAACTCATGATACTCTAGGTGACCGTTAAGATCCGTAGGACTCTTGTTGTTTGTTTGAAAAAAGTGTATAATGTATAATCAAGGAAATTCCGACAAAATTCTGAAAAATGTGGACAGGGTCATTGAGATTTATCCAACCTCAGACGATTTGATGTAAAATGATTGCTCAAAATTGCATCACTCACGTCTTTTTATTAACTTTATCGGGTGATTAAGATCTGATATTGATTAAGTATAATTCAAATTCGGGCGTTAAATATAGCAAACGCTACTTCGAAAACAAAGGCAGTTTGAACAGACAACACAATTTCCTTCAAAATTCATTTTAAAAAAGGTATTATTATTGAAAAAACAAAATACATACTGTAAATTACAAGAACTTTATTTTTGCTTAATAACGCTCAAGAAAATTCCCTACTGTAATTTTAAAATATTTAAGATTATATTTAACAACTTAGGATTAAATATAACAAATTGCAAAATTTGTGAGACTTCTGACTCGTTTATGAGTACTAAATAAAAGTCTTTCAAAAATAATTGTCGCGAAAAGAGTGCTGATCTACAGTGGTGAAAAAATAAAATAACTCACTATGGTCAAACTATATAGAAGTTTAATTGTGACTGTCGTATTCTCTTTATGTTCAGTATGAATCTATGAGTCAAAGACATGAAAGATAAGTTTCTCCATTAATTTATTTTGAGAATGTGATTTAAAACATACAGGTAGACTGTCTGGTGGTATATCTTCCCTGACATGTGGATGTGGAGCATCTGTCTGTCAAATTGGTACAGTGTTCGGGAGCACGAGTAAGTTCTTAACATACTAATACCATTATGAAATGCCATGTTTCAATGCTGTGCCATTTTGACAATAAAACAGTTGGATGGAAGTGAATCGTTTACAAGGCTAAAAAGATTTTTTCAGCCCCTATTAAATTTAGTATTCTTCCTTAAGTTAAATATAATGTTGTTTTGAAAAAAGGAAAGCAATGTATTATGATTTTATAATAAATTTTTAAAAATGAGTGCATTATTACCGTGAAGTAATCGCTCTTTTGCGCAATTTCCCATTCGTGCAGTTTTCGAGAGAAATAAGGAAGACTGGTCGAGCTGAAAAATTTCACCAGGCAGAAAAAAGGACTGTAAGTATTCCACGAATTTATTTATTGAATTGTTTTACTTATTTTTTATTGATGATGCTGTAAATATATAACGAATATTAAGATGTGCCTGAGAGTCAAAATTATGTCAGATATTTATTGATTCTTAGATCCAAAGATAAACACAGCTCTTTGTAGTGCCAGCGTAAAGGGAAGAATACATTTACACTTAAATGCTAAAACAAGAATATATTCGCTGAAATAACATACATTTAACATTCTGGAACAATGAGGAATGAAATATGGAGATAACGAACCGCATTCAAGCTCAAAGTCCACTTAAAAACTACAAATCGAGAGCAGAGCAAACACGGACCTTCAGAAACATCAGGGGCGGAATCAGGTGTCATGAAGAAAATAACAAAAAGTTATTAAATGCTTTTAATATATAATATTAGTTTCATTAATAAAGCATGACAAGTGTATTTTAATAACATTTTAAAGAGTTTAATAAAAAAAATCTCGAAATGAGGGGTCCTGAATCAAGATAAATACATGTAGCTAGGGATTGTTCATTTTAACATTATTAGAATATGAAGTAATTTCTATTGTCAACACATCCGTAAGATACATTTCGAAGTACAACTTACCTTAGAGCAGCTGCACGATTGACATGGATTGCTTACACATTTGGTAGAGGTGCTCTTACCCTAAAATGACTTCAAATCCAGATGCTATGTTGCAATAATTGTAACTATTGTTCATTTTGTGCGGCGCCCCTTTGTTTGTCTGGGACGAGTCAAACTTTCACAAAAAGCCTAGAAAACTCTTCCTCCAAAAATCTTCAATTTATGAAATGATACATCTTGGTAGACTACAATAAAACAAAGTTTTGAAGGTTCAAAATTTACTTTAATTTATTTTAACAAGGAGTGAGCGGAAATGAATGTGTCTGAATCAATATGATTAAATACTGATTCAGATATCTGTGATAAAACTGAGGAAATTATGAAGTAAACACATCCAATGCAATGTGAATATACCGACAAATATTCATGCTTAAAAGTTCTATTAAACTTCACAAATTGGGAGCAGAGAAAACACGAACCCCTGGAAACATGAAAAGTGGGATCATGTGCTACAGAGGAGTAAGCGTGCTTTGTCGATCGGTCACGCCCACCGTGAGCCCATAAATAAAGTTAAAGGGAGAACAGAGAAAGTCATCATGTTTATAAAAAATTTCAGTTCATGTCTCTCTTTAGTTAAATGTCATAATATTAATTAGATGTGTTAGACTCTGTGGCATGAAACTCAGATGAATAGAATTAACAATGAATAAAAATGAATATTATTAACTGATAAAACTTCGGCGATACATATATATCTATGTGGAATTGAAGAGACTTTTTTGTAGAGGTTTTTGTATAAGTTCTTCAAAAGAATACAAAACCATGTCGGCTAAATGTTAGTACCCATGGGAATTGATTATTGGATTACCTTGTATCCAAAGTCTATGTCAATGAAAAACTACCGTTTCTTTTTAATCGCAAATTTAGAGAACATGTTTGTGGAATCAGAATGATTATTAAAGTAATAATTTTGTAGATGATCACAAAATATCATTTTCTTGAAGAAGCAGAATTGTATAATATCAATTTAATAGTTTAATTGTATAGAGGGTTGAAAGGGTCATATAAATCATTCAGAATCGATTGATCGATTAATCGTCTGACTTGAGATGGGAACAGAAAGTAATATTTTCTTGTGTACAGTGATGACCGTGTCTGTGTTATTAAAATAAATCTAGGTAATGTTTGTCACAAAAAGTGATATACCGATAGAATATAATAGTATACACTTCAGTTTACTTCTAGTTTATAAGGTTTGCATATTGTCGACAGAGAACTGGTTCGTAAACAGAAAATATCATTACACTACTTATCAGTATACTTAGTAGCAGACGTAGGTGCTTTTGCATAAAAGTAGTCTGATGGAAGTGAAGTTATTTTGGTTTCCTTTTTTATTAAAATATTTCTATCGAATCAAGAAGCTAACATTTATACTCAGTCCTTATATCTTTCTCGAGTTTCAAGTATCCAATCCATGACTTTTTTTTCCTGAGAGCAAGCAATGAGGAGGAGAAAAGAAAAAAATCATTCAGGCAAAAACCGTAAACGGAAAGGTTAAAAGCTAGGTTACTCGTTATGTTGCTTTCATTGCATTGTTTTGCTGATTTTATTTACCAAATTAGACGAAGTGGTACTCACAAATTTATAGAATTTAATATCTACTACGGGATGTTTGTGTGTTTAAGGTTTTACTGGAAAATACATTTTATCACAATAGTTTTCTATAATATTGATATAGAGCATTTTATCACAATTGTTTTCTATAATATTGATATAGAGCATTTTATCACAATAGTTTTCTATAATATTGATAGAGAGCATTTTGGTATTATACCTTTTTTTAGGGGGAAAACAACAGAAATGTCTTATTATTATCCGTATAAGATGTTTATGTATTCCAACTGAATCGGTGCGCAGAAGCATATATTCTGAGTACAAGTCATGAGATGCTTACAGCCCCTATGTACTTGATCCTACCTCTGATATTTCTGTGTTTTAACCCTTTTCATAATTCGTATTGTTTATAAGATTGTGAAAATGATAGCTGTTTGTTATCTCCACCTTTTCACGATAGTTATTTCAATAAAGCATATTCGCAGTTCTTATTTACTTCGACGAAAATGGATGGTCGGGTCCCCCGATAAAAATTAATTCCTTTATTAAATCTCATCCCTAAATGCTGGAATAGAAGTTGAATAAATATTGCACATAAACACAAAGTTTTATTAAAATATTGAGAGGTTTTAAAAGTTAATTTTTGAAAAACATTCTCTCAGTACTTCCAATTTTTTTTTCTTACAGAACATTGCGATTTCGAATAACTTTATCACATCTTCACAAAATAACAAAAATGCCCTTTATAATTTGTTGGATAAAAAATCAATATATGAATAGGATATTCTACAGTTAGGTAAATTGTAATGCTATTAATTTCTGCCTCATTTAAACTAGTTGCAAACTGTATATTCTGCCTAAATCCATCAACGTTATCCTGTAATCCACGCGTAACCAGAAAAATTTACGACTAACGTCAGTAAGGTCAACTGTTCCTTCACCAAGGGACAGGCACTTTGAAGTGAAAGTCGCAGGTCTTTCGGATTAGACCTGAAAAACCAAGGCCCGGTGTCTCGGTCGGCGTTGGCACGATAAAGATCCCTCACTGCTCAATTGCCCCGAGAAAATGGTGCCGAGTAAAGGTCCTAATTTGAAGCCCTTCACCGGTATATGGTGACGTCTCTATACGAGTGAAAAATTCTCAAATGAAACGTAAAACAACATACAATCAATCAATTCTTTAATGCAAAAAAGTTCCTAAATTAAAGGTGGTAAATATTCCGACAGGCATTAATTGTACTTTCTTATTATGTATTTTTTATGAAGCAAAATTTAGTGAAAACTTCTACATGAGACGAATAAAACTTGTTGTGGCTTTCAATTAAACAATTCGATATATCGCCGAAGTTTTATCATTTAAAAATAGTTACTTTTCATTCATAAATGACTAATTTATATGACTGCTCGATATATCCCAGTGAACTCAGAATTTATTCAGAAGCTTCTACATGAGAAGAAGAAAACTCTTGCTGTGGCCTTCAATATCGACATTTAGATATATTGACGACGTTCTATCAATGAACAATAGTTACTTTCATTTATATGTTATTGGGTCGTATTTTGTCTGACATGGTTGAAACCAGTGGTTTTGTTATTACATTAATTAATACTATATTTGAAAACGGATCAAAACATAGGGTTCACGACAGGTGTAACCGGTCAACAGGGGATGCTTACTCCTCCTAGGTACCTGTTCCCACCTCTGGTTTTCCGGGGATTTTTGCTTTATTAAAAAAAACATGTTCATGATACTACGAAGGAGACTATATAAATCGGCCTTTTCTCGCAGTAGTATTGACTCAGTCTTTGTCATACCATGCAGTTTCATCAAACACATACTTTTTCTTTCTGGGTAATAACTGTATCGATAAGTTGAACAGTAACACTAAGTTTTGTAATAATACGATATTTATGAACATTTTGCACGAGTGTCCAATCTGAGGGTTGTTTGAGAGAGCAATCAGGAAGAAGATTGGAGATATTTGGACAAATGGAAAAAGGAAGGCAATTAGCCTACAGATACTGTAGTCACCTTTAGTTTTTTTTCTATCTGAATTCGTTTACTATATTTGAAAGTGAAAGGTGATTAAAAGAATAGATGCGTTGGAATAAATATTTCCTGCTTTGGTTTTATTATGTCCTAAATGGCGTCAGCGGTAAGTTTATTATATCTTTGTGAACTTCATGTTTATAGAAAGCAAATTCACTGTTTTGTTTCATTTAAATTTCTTAAGTCTTTTCAAATCCTCATGGTATTTCATCATTTCCTTCTTATACTCTCACATTTTTTTTATTTCGAGAAATTTGCCTTTCCCGTTATTTTCTTAGCACAAAAAATTCTAATACAGTTATCTATCTAGCAAACCGTTTGTGTTAGCCTAGTAGTTATTTTATACTTGGGGAAATTTTTTTGATTCTTGCGTCATTTCGAATTAAACGTCGTATAATATAGGTAGTGACTCTT